GCTCATGGGCCAAACATTCTTCGATCAGCAAATCACTCCAGATGCTCCAATCCTTGATGAAACGGATATGATGGCTGCCGAGGTACCATGCCATTGACGCACGGCACCGATAAGACCATGAATTTCCAGCTATCAAGATTGTTTCCAGATTCTTCAGTTTCTTCAGCAGTTCTGGTGATAAACACTTGGTCAAGTTGTTATAGGCTAGGTCCCAAACTTGCAATTCCGGCAACAAATCATAAATTTTAGGATCCACGTCAACGATACGATTCTGCCAGAGGATCAACGACTTCAGATTCGACAATCCTCGGATCCACGAGGCGTCGATCTTTCGAATTTTATTGTTCACCAAACCAAGCAGTCGCAGTTTCGTGAGGCCTCTGAACGCATCCGGCTCTATCTCTTCTATTCCACATCCGGTTATATTCAACTCTATCAATGACTGAGAGTATTGCGAGAACGCGTCCGTTTTTATTTTACTGATATTCGAATTTATAATATTGATCCCCTTTACAGTGAGTGGTATCTGTAACTGTTTATTCAATATTCTTAACTATAAATCCATGCTATATTTGTAGGTGATATTTTTGAAATTGATTGAAGTTTAATTGGATTATTTACCATGCGATTAATAAAATAATCTTATATAAATTTTATATAAATTTTATATAAATAAATAAAATAAAGCTTTTCACGTTTAAATTAGACATGCATACTTCAAACTGTACTTAAACCTTGTTGCAAAACTGTATTTTGTGTTATCGGCAAACTTTCTGTTAATACAATAACGGTTTCGTTGCACAAAAATTGCATAGAAGTGTTCCTTGAACATTTTTTCTATACACTTTTGCACAGCCCTGTCGAATCATGAATCACTCTGTATAATTCGGAGGAAAATATCGTAAAAAAAAAAGAAATAATTAATATCGAATCCAAACTTACGTTTGTCAAGTCTTTTAGACCCACACACTCGTAACAATCTTCCCCGTCTTGTAACGTTAGACGGCAACTTGCAAAGCAAGAAGCTATAAACGCCACAAAGACGATCGATCTAAGCAAAGCTCTCATCTTGCTCAAAATTTGAACAGCAACTATATCCGATCACTACGGGACTCGCCTTTTATACTCATTGAGATGGACTGCAACAAGGATGTTAATGTCACGGCCACCGTCAAGGAAAATATAAAGCGGGAAGGACTATCGGTTAAGAGCAAAGCGGTCTCTGAAATTGTAAACACATGCATACCAAACGCAAGCACCGGTGTAATAAAGTGGTTGTCCACGGATGGCCAAAGATTTTGCCTCTGGTTTACCTTGCGGGTGAATTTTTGCGTTATAAATTTACGGACAATGAATCTTCTATTCCAAATGGAACTTGTGACATACAACTTCGAAAGCCATGTTAAGTTTCATGAATTAATGCAAATATTAAATGAAAAGCATACATATTTATTTAATCGTGACAATAGTAATTATAAAAATAAGGCTCTAAGAGAAATGTTTGAGTCAGAAGAAAATTGTGACGAATTTCTTTTACGCATTTTGAGTAATAATACATATATACCATTCTGAATTGGACCAAATGTAATTTAATTACAAAATCTAAATTGCAATGTAATTGCGGGACAATTACAATATAATTGTAGTTATAATTGTTTTGCCATTACATTGTAATTGTGATTTGGATTTTGTAATGAGATTACATTCCGCCCAACTCTGGTACCATTGTTCGAAAATACTTGATTAACGGAGCGGTGGAACAAAAATTACTATTATTTATTTAAGTAAGATTCAATTTCCTTAATTATATATACTGTTATGTAATTTTACTTTGTATCCACCCCATTAGAAATTTTCCTGCAGAATTTCCTTGTACTTTCAAGAATTTTAAATACAGATCTCAAAAGAGTGGATCATGGGATAATACAGTGACGTACACATTTGTTCACATATGTACTTCCGAAACATCAATTTAGTATTAGGATCTTGATACAATCACTATTTATGCATTCCCATTATCTCCTGTTTTACCACCATTTTATGATGTAATTTCCTTAATTGTAAACTGAAATTTGTAGTTCGGTACATAGAACGTAGCCATGGGGGGCAGGCTGATCGAAAAAAATTGGATTTTGCCCCCCCCCCTCACTCCTTCTCTGAGTTACAAAATTTTTGCGTAATATTTAATATTGCAGTATAATTTGAATCACGAGCAACAGCCTCTATTGACAAAACGCATACATGTTCAACGATTTATGACTTTAAAAACAAAATAAAGTGTCTCCGGCTACGTACACCCGTTTTCACTGTAGCAGTCGAAGTGTTAATCTTTTTTCCCCACCCTGACTGATAACCTGACTACGCCCACGGTTCGGTACGTAATTTGGTGAAACAAATACAACAGCCTTCCGTGCATGAATTCGTAAATCCCTATATTTTCACCCCCTAAAATTAAATATTTTTAATATTATACAGCGTAGTAAGCCTGCTAAATTCCGCTGGACGAGTCTTTCGCATTCGGTGTATCGTTGAAAAATATAGAAAATGTGTAAATGTGTCCCCAGAGGACCAGCCGCCATCCACCGTATCAAGTGTCCAATTTAAAAGGACTTCGACCCTGGGAACGTCGATTATTGGGATCACGCACGCAATTCCACGAATGTTTCGCGCTAAATGGACGGCCGCTCGCAGGAACGAAAACGACTCTGATTGAATAATTAGGATTCCCCCATTCGTTCCCTCTTAGTCACTCGTGTCACTGGATGTTAATGCCTTGTAGACTCGAAACCGGTTCCGCCGCACGAGGGACACAGAATTGATCGGAATACCTGCAATTTTCACGGAAACCCTTTTTACGTGTATCAAGACGTTCCGGTTAACAACTGTTACGATTTTACACCAGCAACTGGATGTCATGGTTGTCTCCAGCAGCTTTAATAGTCAGTTGACTGATTGGTCACGTTTGTCATTTCAAGTAGCTACCCGTTATAAACAGTCCCGTGATTCAAATATATAACACAACATATTTCTTTGGTAATTTTCACATCTGGAAGACACATGTAAATTCTGTAACAATAGGTGCAAGTCAATCTGTATAAATTTAATCATTAGCGGAAGCGACTAAATATTAGGGTACTGTAAAAGTTATATCCAACGCAAAAATGTAATTAATTTTGTGAAATGGTATCTGTCATCATACTTATAAAGAACATCTAAATTATTTCCATTGGTATTGAAAGTAATAGGAACTGTTAATATGCGAGGAACAAATTGGTACCAATTAATGTTAGCCAGGAATCGAGAAACATTCATACCTTACTGTTTAAGGTGATTCAAGGTCATCATGTCGTGGGTCGTTCAATTCAGCTTGACGACGGCATCAACGTTATATACTTAAAAATATAGAATATAATGTACACAAAAAATGTCGATGACCTTCAAATAACCTTCAAGATAACTTTACAGGGACACCTTTTTATCACCACCAAATGCAAGTCTTGAAATCATATAAACTCTTCTTAGTCATTTGTTGGTATTTTCGATGCCAAAAGAAATAATTTACATGCTGCTCATAAATTATACCCTGAAAGTAATTATAATTCAAGTATTACTTTTATGGACAGATACTCGGATGAACAGTATTATTACCCCTGTATGTAATGAACAAAATCGCGGACGAAACTTCTGCAGTAACGAAATATGTCTGGAAGTCCTAATCGGCCGAAAATTCGAGGGGAAATTCGAGCCCGCAGAAGGCCCGAATTCCCATCGCGTTTTGAAACATCGAACGATTCACGTCCGCGATAACGCCTACGTGTTTTACAGACATTAAGCGGCGCGCAAACCGTGCGCGGCACATAATAATAAAGCGCGTTACCTCGATCGGGCTGTAATCACCCGAATAAAGCCACCTGACGATGCCACGGCGTGGCCGCTAATTTGTCACTCTCGTGCGAGCGAATAAAGTGTTTGCATACTCCTATAAAACGATGGAATACGGTGATAACGGTGGCCGAACGATAGAGCCGCGACGGTGTATCCGGCATGTGCATCGCGATAAGGAGCGGCCGCGAACCGATCCAAAATGGCGTAAAAATGCGTTAACCGTAAGTTAACATCTGTTTATCTGTGTTGCGTAGGGGTCAGATCAGAGACAAGCTATCTCTTTCCTTTTCGAAATATAACAATGAAGTGACCGTGCAGAAGAAGTGATGTAAGAAATCGCGATAAATAATGCAGATTTCATGCATTTGTTCGATACAGAAGCATGGGCGTAGCCAGGTTATCAGTCAGGTAGAGCGAAATTATTAACAAATCGACTGCCACAGTGAAAAAGACTCTGCGTAGCCAGACATACTTTATTTTGTTTTTAAAGTCGTAAATCGTTGAAATTGTTAGAGTTTTGTTAATAGAGGCTGTTGGTCGTTTTACAAATTATACTGCAATATTAAATATTACGCAAAAATTTTGTAACTCTGGGAAGGGAGGGAAGGGCAAAGTCCAATTTTTTTCTTGTAGGGTGGAGCAAATGCCACTTTTTTCCATCCAGGGGGCAACCGCCACCCTGGCCCCCTTGGCTGCGCCCATGTAGAGAAGTATGCAAAACCAATGTCGAGATAGTATTTGAAATTCCAACTGTATTGCTATAGCGAAGTACTGACTGGTGAACGTAATGAAATCAGTTCAATGTTTTACATAGTATCAAGTATCGCAGCAAAAACCGGACGCTTAACATATAGCAATTTGATACTATTGCGGTCTTTGGATTTTTCTCAATCACATTTCCATGTTTTCAATACATGTATTTTTTAACCTAATCATGTTCTCCTTTCTTCGCAGATATTTTTGTATAATGAAAACGGTAATAAAAGGAAGAGTTTTAACATGTTATTGGCCGGTAGTTTATTGATAGGCTTTTAAATTTTAGTGCTCATAGTTAAAAAGCCTATTAATATTGCCCTTAGATCAGGGTTACTGAAGAAATTGTTACGTTATTCTTCTTGAACTTTTGATAGTTTCCATGAATGTAATTCGCCACTGTGATTGAACTGTTTGAGAATAGTTCCTTGGCTGTTAATCATGGGATTTACTGAACCTATTAAATAGCAACCGGTAGATAATGTGTCAATGCAACAAATGAATATCTAAAAGAAAGAATCGAAAGGTCATAAGGGACTTAGCAATTCGACAATTGCAATGTTGCGTCAATGCAAACGGATACAACTTGAAGCACATTTTATGACACTAGAGTCGCCCTTTTATTTCATTATTTAATATCGAATGACCTGATAGTACAAATCGTTAATATTGTCTAAGAAATTATTTGTCTAGTATTCAGCTAGGTCTAATCGTTTACGATAAGAAAACGTAGCATGCCATTTAAGAAATAAGGATCACTTTCTGATCTCCAAAATCCTCCACCTACACCTGAGGATGAATCTAGACCTAATGGTTTAGGATAGAAAAATAAGATTCACTTCCTGCTCATCAAAATGCTCACTCTCCTGAGGATGACTCTAGACCTAATCGTTTAGAACCAAAGAATATAACAAGCCGTTTAAAAAAAATAAGGATTTACTTTCTGATCTCCAAAAACCTCCACCTACATCTGAAGATAAATATAGACCTAATCATTTAACCTAACAAAATATAGAATGCCATTAAAAAAAAAGAGGGATAAATTTCAATCTCCCAAAGTCCTTCATCTACACTTGAGATTCAGCATAGTTGTAATTTAAGATTAGGTATTCGAGAAGATTGTACGGAAATTGTTATCAAGTTTATATTTGCCGAACCTAGGAAAACAGCAGTTAACATAACAAGGCAGCATTGTACTTTTCCGTTTTACTTGAATAAACCTAGTGACAAGAGCAACTTAGTTTGTCCCAAACCGGGGTAATTTCTCCCCAAAGATGTCAAATAAAAGTATGCTCGCGTTTCTTCTTCAGGAAGCCCAAACATTTATAAGTTCTCTCGCTGCTAAGTGTGAAACACGCACGGACGGACTCTTCTCGCTACTTATTCCGTTCCCTCTCTCTCGTTCTCCGTCTGCCCCGTTTCTCCCGATT